CATTGCATGTGGTTTTAGTATTACGCAAATAAAAATCTTTTAAATCGAGGTACGGATATTTTTGCACCGGACCATATTTGATATGCAATCTGTCAAAAATTACTTAAGATGATGATGAATTTATTCAACACGGGAAAATTTTTTTACTTGGAATTAAACGTGCACAATTTAACCAAAATTTTCTGTCCTGTAAATTTTCCAGATTGTTTATTCAATGTGCTATAAACATTGAAAGACTAAAATTATTTTGAGATAGGTTAAAATTCGCAGCATACAAGTTACCCCAGTCAATTGAAATACATGCCTTACAAACTATGGACGATACTCCTGACTTGTGCCTGGATAAAATTAATGGCATAAATAAAAGAAAAGTACGGAAACGTCAAAATGCGAAATTTGGCTGAACAGAATCAATGATGGTTGAGGAGTGGGTAATTTAATCAGAACAGACTACAATAATAATTCAATTTTTAAACTCAATAAACAATAATGGCCTGTTTAAAAACTAAAGGAAAGCATATTTTAAATTGACTTCTCAACAATATAATCTACATATTAAGCGAGCTATTATTTGTGCTATTTGTTATAGAGGTTAATAGATAACGGACATATGTGTAATTACGGTTTTCTTGTTACAAACTGTATTTGATCAAAATAGACTGTCCGATTACCATGAGGAAGCCTGTTCTGCTTTAGTTGAATTAAATAAATCGAAACAAACAGTCATTCTAAGTATTGCAGTAAAATAGTACACATAAAATGACTTCCATACTTCATAAGATCGCTAACTATTTAACATATTGTAAAGATTGAACCCACATTTTCTTTGTTTGTTGTCTCAACGTAAACCTTTCCTTTTTATTATCTTTTGACAATGATTAACACCGAAAACGCCTTTTAATTTTAAAGTTACTAGTAGCTATTGCTATGGTGGGCCGCAAAAAATGCTTATATATAACATATCGCCTTACAACATATAATAATTAGATCGTTTTGTTATATGAAATTCCAATCTAAAGCGTTGATCGACTCAAAACTGTATGATAAACCAAGTGGATCAGTCATTGCGGAAAATTGGTTGTAAAATTTTTTTCTATTAGTAAACCGAATCTTGAGAATGTTATACCAGCTTCAGCGGTACACCGGTCTCTAGCATTATCGCTTACCTTTATAGCAACGAACGATTAATTCCTTATTTCCATGTGTTTGTCCTAAAAATAACGTGAAACCATTTTATTAATGTAAAAATGGCTTAAATTCGAAGGCTTTTTTAACGCGTACCAAAAAAATTATTTTCGCATACACAACCAATAAATAGATTGGATTGTTCTGTTCACGACTAATAACGTTTAAAAATAAATTCCCTGTCTAGCTCTAAAAACTTAAAAATTTCCCAATTTAGTTAGTATATTATCAAACACGTTCTATTCTATTTGTTCAACCCGTTCATAGCGGAGAGATTTTCCTTCTCAAAATTCAATGGCAATAAGTGTTTTACGACGAGCAGCACAGTTTTTAAGTCCTACCGAGTTAAGCGCACGCCGAATGGTTGAGACAGAGATTTCTTTTTTTTCTCCCAAGATTCTGAATATCCTTAGCACATTTCCGACGATTTTTTTTATTAGTCACTAATAGTTTAATTGGCTTCCCCCGTATAGCAGCTATACTTTTCTCGATTTAACGGAGAAAAGGGTCGGAACCGTAGCCTCCGTTATATTGAGTTTCACTGTGTATATTACTAGAAAATTGCTTTACGAACATTTATTATAGAAAAAGCCGCCATACAACGGCTACCTTATATCGCCTCAAATACAATGTTGATTATGTGTAACTTTGGGTCTTTTACGGGTCAGCATGTCATTGGTCGTACGCAGCCCGTAATTTGGTAAGCGTTAGTAGCTCCCTCCTCGGAATTTTGATGGCCTCACTTGCACAAAACCTAGTAGACACTCGACGGAAATACGACAAAATCACACTTCAATGGCAAGAGACTTTATATCAACCCGTGGACTGTGAAGTCTTGAGAGAGTCTGTCTGTATGGAGTTTCTCCCAACTATTATGTACTAGCTGATCGTTTCGAAGAGGATTCTCATACCAGTTTCTAACAGGCAAAATTCTTACAACCTCAACATTACAATGAGGTCATTGAAGAAAGGAATGTTGATAATCTTTGCGGCTATCCTGTATGCTCTAAACCGCGTCAGGTAGGTTTGCTGTTAACTATGCAGTGATCAGGAAAAGAGACTTGTAGCCTTTATCTGATTACTCAAAAATTAATTAGCAAATAGATGGCAACTACAGAATCTCGCTGAAGGCTCGTGAAGTATACGAAGTGTCAGAGCTCAATTGTTTCTGTTCACGCACATGTTACATAGCATCAAAGTTTTTTCTGTCTCAGCTATCGCCTGAGCCTATTTATCTTAGAAACCTCGACAAATGGATCTCGGTCAAAGTGATTCCAGTGGGAGTTGATGCGAGGTGAGTATCACAGGCAGGAACTAATATGATGTAGCAGAGCGCTAACACTGTACAAGTTCTCTGTATGTGTAGGCAAGTGCTGACTAAAGAAACTGAATCAACAAGACAAATTGACTTGGGTTCGGAATATGTCAAGGCAGTGACGAACAATCTTCCTCCGGCACCATCCGACATTGTTATCAAAGAGAAAGTAAACGAGGCACCAGTTGATCCATTGAGTTGTAATAAACAAGCTCATGATGCTGTAGAAGGGTTCCGAGTTAAGGTGCCGGCAAAAGACAGACGACGTACGAAGAAAGAGTTAACCCTGACAATGTTTGGCAAAATATGGACTACTTTGGACCGAATAACAACAACGAATACAAGAATGTACTTTAAGAATAATGAGGTTAAAGTAAATTATACAGTTGACTCTGATCAGTATGAACTTATGATGACACGATCCAACATATTTAGTGAGAAAATTCTGGCAAGGTTTGTTCACGTTCTTCTCTGTGTGCGTGTCTTCTAGTACATATAAATGCTAAATCATTCTCTATTTATTGCAGCTATAATTTTATTCGGCCAATATTACCAATAACAGTGGATATAGTAGACGATCTTGTCAATCTCATGCGTACTTTCAAACTAGATCGCCAATCGGTCATGCTGACTGAAGCTGAGAGTAACGTACTGTGTATGGTTTTTTTGTATGCGTAAGTAATATTACAGAACTTTCTATCGTCAATCTGTAGTCTAATACATTACTGATGTCTTGTTTATGCATTTTACAGTTTGTCGATGAATATCCCGGAACTGCATAAAAACATATTCCCTACTGATGATACCAATAATAACTTTAAGAAAACTTTAGAGAGTATGGGATTGACCATGGAGGAGCTGGAAGCGTTTACCAGAGTTATCAGAGTTGCCTCGACTTAAAAACAATGGGGCGGTGAGGGTAGTTTCAGTTTCTAATTCCTGTACGTTCATTTCCAACTTTTAATATTAGAATAAACTTGTATCGAGTGTTTTATCCAACATACAATGCTCAAATCTTATTATCTTCATTCTGCAATTATTGTTCTTCAATAACATCAAACTAAGTTTCCTACATGAAATATGAGTAGCAACATTACACAAAGGCTTGTACCTTGCCTCACTATCGGAATTCCATCTCGGGTAGTAAATATTGAATGAAGTCGTCAACAGGTTGATTGTGTAATAAATAGTCTGCTCGCACTATACATTGACACTAGCCTTCAGACTAAATATTTATCTCGGCTTTGCAAAGATGGCAGAGGCTAGAGTAAGGTACAGTGGTATGCAAAAAAAATGCAATTGTTCCAACCAAACTACTGAATTAATGAAAGAAACATTCGATAAGTAAAACCACACTCCCCAACCGAAATAATACTAAACAACTAAAAACAACGGACGAACAACGTTGTCAACAAGACAAACGCGCTACCATACAGTCACCATCCATTACAAATTCATTAGATAAAAATTTGTTATCTTTATTTTAGATATAAAAACCAACAAATTCACAGTTATCGTATACAGACTCAAAATAATAATCACGATCACTTAACCCTCCCAACCAGCAAATCGTCCAACTTCGCCGCCAGCACCGTTGAAACACAACCGAAACAACAACGGTCTTTAGAATATCTGCATCACAACACAAGTGGCGACAAGACCGCCACAAACCCCTTTAGCGAATGCAGCATTTTCTGCACACACGACACCTCCCAAACGCACACATCTCATTTCCAAACACTAACACACAACAAAAGCTTTAACAAGAGGTGAATTGTGAAATATGTTTAATCATTCAATAACAGAATGTAAGTAGTAGTGAATATCCGATAATGGAACCCACACAGTAGTATATGTAATCGTTCTACAACAGAATGTAAGGGACAACCAAAGGAAAAGTCACTTTTGTCTGAAATATAAAAAAAAATCCTTTACCGCCAAAACGCATCTATCTTTGCTCACGAACCGTTAATTTTTAATTTTCGCAAATTGAGAGAATGCAAACATAGTAACACCGCCATATAATAAAACTTAAACCTATAAATAATTTAAACCTATGACAAAATTTCATCATGTGCGAAGCACTATCTCAACATCATTCTAGTTACGTACATAATAATAATACAACGATTATTAATTTTGTAGATAAACACATCAACTGAGAGAATACACGTGAAAACTAGAGACTGCTATGCAGAATGTATTTTACTACGTGATGGTACCATTTTGTCCGAAGATAATATTAATATAGAATTTGCCATTAAGGAAAATTTTGCAGTACAAATATTCTAACGTTAATTTATTTAGTTACCCTACGAACTTATAGACTTTTTACTGGGTTTGTTTATATTCGAGAGAAAAATTACTACTTATAGAAAGCAATTTAAAAATCGATTGCATATGCATTCAAAGAGTGTATGCAATAACAGATAAGTCCGAACTCGGGACCAGACAAAAGTGTGCATTTAGAGGAATTATGCATTTAGCGGAGATGCATTTGGAGGAGTTTCACTGATAAGAAAGCCATATTCCTGTGACGAATTTCTTCCCGTGTTTCTGCTCAAATCTGCTTAGTGTCACTCTTTTCTACCTTGTTTTTTTTATGCTATTGTTGGCATTACCCGTGTAGAGTGCAACCAATGATAAGTTTAATTTGTAATTTATCTGCTAACCGAAGTCGCTCACTACCAAATATAGGTTTAGCAACTGCATTATGTCCAAATTTGTGTATAAAAAAGACATGTTTCTTGCTTGTTTTTTTATCTTTATTGTCTTACTTTTAAACAATTCATCTGCTATGAACACGAACAACAAACCAACATCAGCCCCTCATTCTGAAGACGAAAAAGAACTAAAACGAACCGATGTATTTGCACAGCCACATTTCAGGACTAGGTCCAGGGAATTTCAAAAATCGGCCAATAATTCAACTACGCGTCAAGCGAAAACGTTTACTCTTCCGCTAAAAAGTTTTGCGTAGTCCGGTTGCTATGAACGCAACAAGATATGGTTTTGGATACGCATCAGTTAGCGATAACGTGGATACTTCGCCCAAGTTCGCCAATCTCAATACACCACATTCTATTACAAAATCCAATACATCAACACCACTCAATATTATCCAATAGTCTGCTGTGGCTAATGTGGCTTTAAGCCACAAAACTGCCGATTTTTTTAGGCACCACTAATACTAACTACAGATTTTTCGCACAACGGCTGATGAGAAAAAAATCATGTGACTGCCCGTTATTACTATTACTAGTGCAAATCTTCCTGGACCGAAACATAAAAAAGATCTTGATGAGCTTCTGCACAAGACAGTTGTCTTTCCATATCAGGTCAAGCTTACCTGTGAGTACCAGAAAACGTGCAGCTCTACCAGTTTATGTACATTTTGCTCATGTGATTGCATGGCATCTTTTTGTTTAGAAAACTGTTCAAACTTTGTTCATCTTAAAACAACCAGTTGCAACAGCCTTGCTCTTTTCAACAAAAGTCCCTTCAAAGAGAGAACGTGAGCAAGAAAAAGATGTTCAAAAAAAGTTCCCAAAGATTCCAGGAGCCACAAGCATATCAGGGACAAGGATCTTTGAAACGGAGCATGGCAATGATAAGGTGTGTACCATTGTAGCATCATATTGGCTTGTTGCCATGCTCTGATTTGTGTTTCACATTCACAGAGGTTGGAACTTCCATATGGTATTCCAAACTTTTATAACTTTCGCATAAGAGAGGGAATGCTGTTTGCTGACAAGACAGTTTATATTGAGCACCTGGAAGGAACTCAAGGTGATTTCAGATACACATTCCTTCAGCCACATCACTTTGGGAAATCAGCTTTCCTCAGCATGCTGTGTCAATACTATGGCATTCACAATGCTGAATACTTCAATGACCTGTTTGGTCCACTTTACATTGGCAAGCACCCTACAGAATGGCACAACAAGCACCTTGTTCTAAAGTTTGATCTATCATCCATTAGTGTCAGTGGCCCAGTTGACCAAACAAAGGCAAGTTTTCATGACTATATCAATAATGCTCTGACAGATTTTGTCATGATGTACTGGAAGGAACTTGGAAATTCACAAATTGATGCAGTGATTAACACCAAAAATGCTACTTCATCTCTAAGACGAGTTTTGGTAAGTTATTATTATACTTTTTATTTTATCATCTTTCATGGCATAAATAAAATTTAAATCTAACCTGGTATTATACATACAGAGACTAGTCAGCAACCATGGACATACTATGTTTGTTGGAGTGGACAATTATGATGCCCCAGCCAATAACAGTGCATTTGCAGGCACTAACATGGGATTTGATGAGGCTACACTCAAGGAAGTTACTGAGATTGAACAGTTCTTTAAGGAGAGTTTTTTTTCTGTGCTAAAGGAAGGATGTGGAACAATCAGCAATCGTGGTGCTGTCATCAGCAAGTACTTTGTGACTGGTGTTATTCCAGCATTTTGCAAAGGGATGAGTCCTCTCCATGAAGCTCAGGTCATCTCAGGCAATGTTGAGCTGCATGGCATATGTGGCTTTACTGAGGATGAAGTCACAACACTAGTTCAGCACTACTTTCACAAGGACAAAAATGATGCAGATAAGATTGTGTATTCCATGAGAAGGCTGTATAATGGATACTATTTTGCCAACACTGCCTATGATGAATCCAACCCACAACCACCTCTTTTATACAACCCACAGCTAGTGTTCTACTACATTCATACATACGAAAGCAGTGGAGTTGTTACTGTGCCTATACCTAACAAATACACAACCATCCATTCAACACATATACTCAGGTCTATTGCTGACAGTGGAGGGTTTTCAGTTGATGATCTTATTCAACTGATCATCTCTAGTAGACAACAATATATTTAATATTGTTGTCTACTTACACTAGACTGTTGCCTACTTATGAGTATACTGTTACCTACTTATGGGTATACTGTTGCCTACTTATTTTATAGCTACCCATTTTGACCTCTAATAAGCTTAATATTTACTTCCTTTTAATGATTCAGGTGATATACAGATCATATTTGTATCGTCATTCGAGAGCCATTGTGATATATATCTGAATAATGATTTAGTCGATTTCCATCATCACTTCTACATGCGACGTATCATTTGCCGGTTTGGTGATCGTGGCCGATTTCCGTCGTCAGCTTACATGGGTAAAAAAAATATCTGACGATGCATTCAGTCGCGTGTCATCATTTGCGGGCCCGATGTGAGGGCTATGCCCGAACCTGGCACGTAGTGCCGAAATAGTATTCGTATTCTAGCTTTGTATGATGCACTCAAATATCGATCGAGGATGAGGCACGTAGTGCCGAATTGTTAACATATCTGATAACACACCAAAGCATTCGATGATGAGGCACGTAGTGCCGAATTGTTATCCTTATTTGGTAACCCACCAAAGCATAATTTTTTATAATATATATGTCTGTAATAATTTTCCTTGATGGCCTACCGATTTTTATAAAATGTTAGCCCTATTTGGTAACCCACCAAAGCATAATTTTATTATATATATCTGTAATAATTTTACCTTGGTGTCCTACTGATTTTTTTTCGAATTATATATCTAATCATATTCCATTATTCACCAAACCTTGACCTATAAATTTTAATACTTTAATATCCTACTGAATTATAATATCTAATACTTTGATGGGTTATCGAATTATAATACTTTGATGTCCTACTTTTTTTAGGATACTTTATACTTTGTAAAGCATCTCTCGAAACATATTATATGTCACTTACCCAGAACTGCACCTCGATTAAAATCGCGCGACACAAAAATCCCGCGATTACTTATACTTACCCGAAACTATATCTCGATCAAAATTATGCAACACAAAAATGGTTATCGAATACGTACCTTATATATTAACTAGAACTTATCTGAAATTGTATGCACGTTATATTTTGTAATATGACTACTTATTTTATCCCATATATCAGAAGCACTTACGCGATATTTCTCCTGGCAGGCACATAAATCGGATGACCAGAACCCGCCCACGACCCAAAAACCCTCTGATAAATATTTGGTTGTCCATCCAAAATCGCGCGACACAAAAACCCCTTTATATGATCCAGGTATCGGAATATTAATTTTTTATTTGAATTTTTTCTTATACTTATTGTAAAAGTGACATAAATCTCTTTACCCAGATATATAACTAGCTGAATGTAGCAATCTCTCGTCTCCAGAAATTATTACTTAACTAGATTGTATTATCTTGAAAACAGTTACGCATATTCAATAAAGGCCAAAGAGCGGGTTTTTAATTCCTTTTTATACGGAGTAGTAGGAACCTTCATTTTAGTCTCGAAATTTCGCTTGTATTCTAAGAAATCGGCCTCACTCATACTCTCGCGCTCTTTTTTCCAGTAATTCTGGTTATCCCGCATTTCAAAAGCAATCTTTCTTCTCCATTGATCTAATTTTTTTTGAGATATTTGGAATTTTTGTTGTAAATGAAGAATAAGAGTATTTATACCAGATTCGTTTTTAATAAAATATTCTGAAGATAGAGAGATTAGGGATTCAGGTATCTCAATCTTAGCTTCAGTAATACTTGAGAATTGTTCAGAATCGGTTGATTGATTTTGAATGGATACTGAAGAAGATAATTGCAATAAATTTGGTTCGGATTTTTTGGCTATATTATTGCAAGAACTCTCTTCACAAATCCCATTACTGGATACAGAGCATCGAAGCTTCGCTTCCTCTGAAATGGTGATAGCAGTAGTAATAGCAGAGCTAGTGTCAAGACACATGCGTATTAAATCAAAAAGTTCTTGAGTTTCATCAATCGATTCTGGTTTATATAGTGGAAGAATTGGAGCTATAGGGAAGTATTCAGGATTACGCAACTTTATATCTATTAGTTCTTCTTGATTATCAAAACCACATCCATTATATGCTTTACGATCAATCCAATAAGTACTTTTCCATACTTGTTTACCTTTTGGTCCTTCTTTTCTTCGTCCACTCCTGATAGTATAACCACACCAATTACTTAGTATTGCGTTAATAAATTTTATTGTAGCATTGAGATCAGGCAATCCTTTAGCTCTGGTTTTAAAACTAAAGAGCAATAATGCATCTTCCCGAATTTTAATGATATTTTCTCGTGATTGCTCAAAAGTCTTAGTCACATCATCACCAGAAAGAATATTCGTGTCATCAATATCAATAAATCCTAATGATTGGACAAGATTATGTATCGCTTCCCACTGTTTTGCCGAATAAAATTTATGCAAATCAACTGAGGAAGGGTCTATAGAATCATGTGAATCTTCCCATTGCATGTCTTCTTTGATTTTTAGATTTTCTATGGAATTTGTCGCATTGAAATCTTGTCTTCGATAATATGCCAGCCTCCTAAAATGCTTTAAAGGTTCAGGATTATTGAATTTTTCTACGAAATCTGTATCACAAAGCTTAACCCAATCATCATTATTCATACCCCAATCTCGAATATCATATTTACCCCCGATATCACCCGAAGCATATATTTTCCATAAATAATGACGTTGTAAGGTTATATTATCAGTAAAAGAACGTATAGGATTTAGCTTAAG